AAAGCCTTCAAAGCAACAGTTTGATTCAGCAGCTCAACACATTACAGTTTCTACAACTTGTCTAATGAACAAAATGGAATGCCCTGGGATGTGCTGAGTATCTGTCAATTAAAGTTTGATGTCTCCAAGGCCAGTCTGGTCTACCCAGGGAGCTTCAGGACAGCCAGGACTACACAGAGAGATTCTGACTCAAAAATCAAAAGAATTCAATGTCTTAAATACTTCTAAACCATCTCAGTTCTGAACTCTGCACTTAAAAACAGACAGCACTTAGAGTGTGCGTGCATGTGGACTTGGTGCTCTTTCAAGCACATGGTTCTGGGAAGAACTCAGGGCATCATGTGTGACAGCAAACACCTTCACCTACTGAGCCCACCCACTAGTCACCACGCACTTGTTTGCTGACTCTCCTGAGTATCATAAACCGCGAGCATCCCCACTGCTATGGAAACGCTGTCAGTGTCTGGCAGTTTTCATTCTGTTCTTTGTTCCTGAGCCTCAGGGCAGTTGGGACAGCAGGCAAGAGCTCGTTATTCAGACTTTAAGAGAAAAGTTCTCCACAATCCACAGGCAGAGTGGGCAGGCAGCTCACAGCTCACACAAACCTCACAATCATGGTGCTCCATTTCTAAAGCACTAGCCCTGGCCAGAGGGAAGGAGTCAACCACGTAGTGTGGGCATCACCGCCGACAGTCAGCATACACGGACACAATTCTCGGACAATTCTAGTTTTTAAATGTAAACCTAGAGAACGGACCTTAGGAGCACCCAGTCTCCAGAGCTGCCTAAGAAAACTGGTCTTTTACACCACCGTTTACAGTTATGGAGGGGCTTGCAGACACCCCCACCAAGCACTGATCCATTGGTAAGTGAGAAATGTTTCACCAGGATCCAGCAGGACAATGAGGCCTGCGCGCGTGTGACAACTGCATGAGGTGCGGCAGGAACAAATGAGCCCACTCACCCTGCCTGGTGGTACCAGAGAGAAAGCTGCCCTGACCCATCGAGGTCTTGAGTACTGACACCCCAGGTCGTGCCTCTTTTTTCCCCCTCAGGGAGACAGACAGGAACTTTTTCTCGCAGAACAAGTGTCTAATCTCACTTCTCACCAAGAGTAGGTTTTGAGGGCAACTCGAGTGGGGCATGGGTCCCAGCGCACTGCCATCCCCTAATGTCATGGCTTGAGGCCAAAGGCAGGCAGGCAGGCACGGAGCAGATGGCGTCCTGGCAAGGTCCCTGCTGTCCCTGCATTAGCAGCGTCTGCTCATTACTCAGAACCTTCACTTGCTTTATCTAATGCTCCAGGAAAAGCATTTTGATTTGATTCATTTCAGGATGGTAACGTACAGCACAATTAGTGGTAAAATCAAACTGGAGGGGGCTGACAATTGGAAACAAGGCACAAGAAATATGAGGCCAGTGGGGTGGAATTCAGCTCACAACTGTGGATGGCCCGCCAAATCCCAGCTCCCCAGTGCATGCGCAGGTCTCTCAGGGCGTAGCTCAGGAAGGGTGCTGAAGGGCTGTCTCCCAAGTTCCCTGCAGGGAGGCTCCTGCTAAGGAGAGCATGGCAGCTTCAACAAGGGGTCTGGGTCTCAATGGCTTCGGAACCTCACTTAGGCACAGCGAGAGGGCTGGAGTTCCTTTACTCCCTGAACTACACACAGCAGACCCCACAAGGCCCTTTTCTAGTGTTTTTGACCAAGAAGCATCAACCACTGCTCTTGTGTGTGTTTGATATTTACACCTGTGAGCACTAAATCAGCTCTTCGGGAATATGTCAATCTGTCACCCAAGTGAGGCTGAGGCCAAGGCCACCTGGGATGGAGAAAAGGGCCAGAAGCTGCCATCCACCATGGAAATCCCGGCAATCTGATATGACTGGTAAAGCCTGCCTAGCATGAGAGGTGAGTTCCTGTGGGAGGAATGCTCTTCCTCTCTTCATACTGAAGTGGACAAAGCCAAAGCTCTGAGGCAAATCCTGAACCCTGAAAGGACTGCAGTTGACCTCACAGCGAAGTGACTGCCTGCCAGCATGACCTGAGATCCTAAAGCACAAGATGTAACCAGACAGGTCAACAGTGTCCCTGAATAGACCAAGCACAAATTGCTCCTACTCAAAAGCCTGGACCTGTGGGATGTGGCAGCCTGTCTCACGGTGCCAATGACTACCAATACTCAGGTCCCTACTTCCTACTGATATAGAATGGATTCATTTGGCTAGGATTTAAGTATGATATAACTACAAAGGAAACAGAAGGACTACAAGCAGCAGGCATGCATAAGAAAAAGTTCAACTCTTCCCACCAGGAGAACCACAACCACAGTCATGTTCCATACCCTACCACATCCATCAATACCGCAAACTGAGAAGAGCAAAGACAGCATGGCATCTGTGCTCACCTCCTACCTGGAAATCCTTCTTACAAGTGAAAGGACATCTGTACAAAGCTTTTCACTACAATGCTGCTTGTGAGAGCAAATGCACACACACCTGCTTTGCAATGAGTCACAGGCGTATACAAAAAGGAGAGCTACCTAGGTGTGAAAAATGAGGCTTTCAGATATGGTACTACATCAAAAAGCCAAGGAGGGGAGCTGGAGAGATTGCTCAGTGGTTAGAGGACTAGCTGCTTTTCCATAGACCCTGCACGCACATGGTGGCTCACAACTGTATGTAACTCCGGTGCTAGGGGATTCAGCTTCCACAGGCACTACGTGCACGTAGTGCACAGGTATATACATGTAGGCAAAACCCCATACACATGAAAGTTAGACAACAGCAAAAGACTAGCATCTGACAGGACACTTGTAGGGACAATTCAGTCGTTATTCATGCAAACCCCAAGCACTGAAGCCTTCAGTTTAGCAATGGCCAGTGCTGCAGCCTGGATTTACGTATGCACAAATTCAAGGTCACTGCATTCAACAAGAACAAGGAGTCCAGATGTCCAGCGATAAGGGCTCCACACGTATGGCATGGTACAGCATGGGACCAGGGCACAGCACTGAGAAGAGGAAGGAGTAACACAGGTCGCCAATGTGCAGCATTGGTTTAAAAACAACAAGACCCACTGAAGTGCACGAAGCTGGCTTAGGAAGATGAGAAGACCTAGAAGACTAGGAGTGGCTCCTTTTACCTTTTCAATAGCTTTGTTGTTTGCCCTTTAACTATGAATTTGTAGCCCCAGATGGCCTGCAGCTAAGTAGACCAGGCTGGCCTCAAACTTGGAACTCACCTGCCTCTGCCTCCCAAATACTGTTGGTAAAGATGTCCACTAATCCTGGATGAATTAAGGTTTTTAAGCAAAATATTTGACATATGTTTTGAAATTCCATGTTCAAGTATTTACCGTGAAGAAAGTTGTCTACCATACCTAGGGTGCTCCCCTATTTATATGCAATGGCAGTGACTGGGCCAAAGACACTCTTGTCAGCAGCAAGTATAGCTCAGCGGAGGAGGCTCCCCATATCTGCATGTGTGCTCATGTGTGTACAGTCCCTGTGTGCCTGTATGTCTGCCTGCATACCTAATTTGCACCACACTTTATTTTCCCTTCAAGCTCTATTTGTAAGCTCATCAGCTATGATGAGCTCAGGACTCACAAGAGTCTCTGTGTTTGCTGTCAGTAACACCACTCCAGCCAACACAGGAGCTGGGAGACGACAGCAGCTGGATTTCAACTTCACCCTCTAGTCTTCAGTTTCCTCAATGATAGAAGAGTCTGCCATTCAAGAATGCAGGACAGGAAGTGCTGTTAGAGCATTCCAAAGCTGCGAGTCCAGCTGCAGGCTAAGCAGCAAGCATGCTCAGTCTGCAGCTACACTGCCCACCTGGGATCAGCTCAGGCCGATGCTACACTGCTCACCTGGGATCAGCAACTATGCATGGAAAAGCTTAATAAGGCCACAGAAGCAGCATGCTGGTGCTACTGCTGCTGCTGCTACCATTCTGAGGAAGCTAGAGTTGAAACTAGGGCCTCATGCATGGCAGGCAAGCACAATGCTGAGCCGCACCCGTCTTAACTTAGCAAATGTCCATTTGTAGTGTCTAATAACATTAACCAGAAGAATAAAGTACAAAGTTTTGCTCAATTTTTTTAAATCCTTATATTTGCTCTTTTTAGATCTGAATTTTTATCACTGAATATTAGACATTTATAAAACTCCCTAATGGCTACCATAGCTCCACCCCTCTGTGCCAAATGACACCACGCTGCCTGAAGATCTGCATGGCCCTGGTACGAACACTGAGTCCCAGAAATGTGCTACGGTACAACTTCCAGGCCAGGGTGTGTGTGTGGGGAGGGGGGGGGGCTCTTGGAGCTGCAGACTTTGACACAATGGACATCAGGACTGTGAGCTGTAGGCAGGCAGTGATCACTTCCATCAGCTAACAATGTTACATGTCCCATCATTTCCATAACAGTTCTATAAACCCACAGTTGCTCACACACACTCTCTCCAGGCTGGAGACAACACATCAAGGACCACGCTTGATGGGTGAGTGCCAGGTAAAGGCAGGCACTGATCGCCAGTTTTCTGCCCATCCATGTCAGATCACCCCTCTATCCTTATCTCTAGTCTTTTCAGCCTGAGCCGAGGATACAGGAAAAGGAGGCCAAGTATATTTAATATTTTAAACTAAACACACCATTTGCTTAAGATGGTCTGGCCAGCCTCATCATGCCTGGCACTGACATTCAGCTCCAGGGTTCCAGGATGAATTAAACACCAGTTTTAATGGGTACCATGTTCCAATGTCTACTAATGGACCAGGGTTATTGGCTAGCTTCTTCATATAGAGGCAGAAGGCAGTGCATGAACGTGCATGTGCTTGTGTTCCCAGGAAGAGGCGGGTGTGTGTGAATGTGTATATGCCTATGCAAAGGAGGCAGGAGCACGTGAACGTGTGTGCATGGAGGATATGGGAGCTGCTGCAGTTGATGAGGCTTTCTCCTGCACAGGGAGGCAGAGGGCTGGAGTACTGGGGTACTCACCATCCTCGTAAGCTGCAACTGCCAGCGAGCTGTTGATCCTCACAAAGGAGACATATGGCTGCATTCCAGGCTCCTCCTCTTCCGACTCAGATTCTAGGAAGGGGGCCACATAGTCCCAGGTGCGGGTGTCCCACACCCTCACGTCCCCTGACGTGTATCTGGAAGAGAAGAACATTCTTGGTTCCAAGGGAAATCTGGAGAGTACAGACAGCAGCACATGGGCGGGCTGGGAGGCTCCATTCCTGTAGTTGTCTGGATGGATGACTAGTGGGGAAGGAGTCAACTGACCACAAAAGGCTGTGAACTACCTTCAATCCCAGCACTCGAGAGGTAGAGGCAGGCAGAGCTCTGTGAGTTCAAAGTCAGCCTGTTCTACAGAGTGAGTTCCAGGATGACCAGATCTACACCACGAGACCCTGTCTCAAGAAGGAAGGGAGGTGGAGAGAAGGAATGAGCACTGCGATGGTGTCCCCCCTCCCACCCTCATCAACAGGCTGTCGCCTCCGCTCCTTCCACACTAGGAATCAAGGGAGAAACATGGACGCATGCTGGTGTCCTCATGAACTGTGCCTGCAGAGACACAAGAGCAGCTGGGACTGAAAACTATCAGCCCTGCAGCTAAGCTCTCTCACCTCCTCCAGGAGCAGAGCTAACTGGTAAGGGCCCCTGAGGACTTCTGCTCAGGCACTGCTGCCTTCCTGTCAAAGGCGCCTGTCCTGCCCACTACGAAAGCAAGGCACTAACTCTAGCCTGTGGCTTTGGTCACTTCCTGGATGACCTACTCAGTCATGAAGTCCCAGGATGATGGTGCAGCCAAATGATGCTACACTGCCTGTTACTGAGGTGTCCGCATTCCTCCTGCTGAATCCCTCCGTTGAAGAGGGCGGGGACTGAGGAGAAGCACCTGTGGGGGCCTCATGAGGAGCACAGGGATGCTAAGGAACAGTCTTCCTGAGGCCCCAACCACACAACATTGTAGAGTCAAAAAGCTTAATTCATCTCCAAAACCTAGGACACACGAGTGTCTGGGGTGGCTACAGAAGGCCAGTCTCAGGTCAGAGTCCCATGGTTATGTATTTACTGTGTGATGTGGGAGTGTCATATATCAATCTGTTGATTTCATTGGTTAAGTAATAAAGAAACTGCTTGGCCCTGATAGGCTAGAACATAGGTGGGTGGAGTAAACAGAACAGAATGCTGGGAGGAAGAGGAAGTGAACTCAGAGGCCATGCTCCCCTCTCCCGGGCAGATGCGATGAAGCAAGCCGCCAGGTCAGACGTGCTGAATCTTTCCCGGTAAGCGCACCTGGTGGTGCTACACAGATTATTAGAAATGGGCTAAATTAATATGTGAGAATTAGCCTAGAAGAGTCTAGATATAATGGGCCAAGCAGTGTTTAAAAGAATACAGTTTCCATGTAATTATTTCAGATAAAGCTAGCCATGTGGGAGCCAGGGTGGCCGGAACGCAGCCCCGCAGCTCCTACAACAACTGTGTGCATGTATGCTGGAGGAGGGGCACATGTTTGCCACAGCACATGTGAAAGTCAGAGGGAAACTTTGCCGAGCAGACTCTCTTTCTAGCATCATGTGGTTCCAAAACTGGACGTGCGAGGCCAGGCCTTTTAGGACAGTGCTTCACCCATGCGGCCACCTCAGCCCCCAGGGTGAGGTTTCTTAATGCGTTCACTGCGTGCCCTGACTCAGGAGGACTCCTCGAGCACACACTGCAGTGCTCCCCAGCTATTAGTCTACATGTGCACATGAGCTCACTCTGCAGGACCGGGTGCGGGCAGAGCTCTGCACGAGGAGCACACAGCAGGAGGCTCCCAACACTGACTGCTGCTGCTCCAACAATCATTACCCCCTACTGTCCATAACAGTGGCAGTGCATGACCAAAGCTGTACACTCATGTGCCCTGAACAACACAGCCACAGACTCCAGGCTCTTCAGGACGTGGTCTAGATGACCACTGTTGGTGAGGAGCCTACACACAACTGCACCCAGCTCAGCACCCTCAGTCTGACTTGGGTTGATCACTGGAATACAGCCAGTTTCAGCTACAGTCAGGAAGGCAAGCATGGGAGTCTAGACTGTGAGTCCACTCTTGAGGTTCAACTCAACAAAAGGAAGAACTCAGAAAAGCAAGATGAAGAGAAAGGCTCATGAGAAGAAAATAAGCACAGGATGTTCGTGCTCCCGGCAGCCCTGGCTAGACTTTCAGCACGTCCATGATCTTCACACTGTGTTCCTCCAGGAGTTCGTGCAGGTCCCTCTGCCCTCACTCAGCATTCCTGTCCATTGCTAAAAATTCTTTTCTGCAGCAAACTTCATGCTGATGCCCCCTTGGGGTACAGCGGGAGGAGCAGGGGATAGAGAGCAGGCTCTGAGGGATCAGGGCTCCAGCTCACCACCCTCTCCAGATAATTCTGAGACAAACAGCAAGGAACACCACAAGGAAAACATGCTTCACTCTGAGCCACACAGCAGTGAGCGAGCGGTGTGAGACATTACTGCTGTGTCCTCACTGGGGATAAGCAGAGGGCACAGCGAAGTCACTGCACTCACTCCATCCAGCAGCACACGGCTTCCCTCTCAGAGCTATCTCCACTCCCTCCAACACTTACACACCAGGGCCTCCCACTCATTCCAGGGGCCATCCTAGACTCCTTGCCAGCCCTGCCTGCAGCCAGCCTGCCTTGCTGTCTCAGCAGCTGTGTGCTATCACCAGTTGGCCTTGCCTCCTCACCTGGCCTGCATCTCTATCTCACACAAGCTAATGCTACCGAGAACTGGTGTCTGGAAAGGGCAGGTCACCAGCAGTGTGCTCACAGGTGGCAGCAGCTGTCCTTGCTCCCAGCCAGCAGCCTCCAGTACTAACGGGAGGTTAGAACACCCAGAACACAGACGACTCTCCTCAGACTTCTGCTCTCCTTCCAAGCACACTAGACTGTAGCTCTAGGAGAAAGCAGGCAAGCCCAGTTATTTGCATAAACAGGGAACTTTCCAAATAGCCACTTGAATTAACTGTTCTTCGCAGCCAAAGAAGTGTGCAAATCACAAGCATTTGCCCCTTTCACCGAGGAAGCAGATTTCCCATTTGAGCAGGCGCTGTAGGACCCATGCACAGGCTCTGAGAGCTAAGGGAGAAACCAACAACAGGTGGTGCTGCTGGAGCAGGCTGCAGGCAGGCATTTTCACCAATGGATAACACTAGCTAGGGCAGAGGGACCTGCACGAACTCCTAAGTGTGGTCTAAAGCGTGCTTAACTCACAATGGCCAGGGCAAGGGAAGACATGGGTATGGAGGTGGAAAAGGCTCCAGATGCTCCACTACGGCCTAATGACAATTACACTCAACCAATTAAGACCCCACTATGACGGTCGCACTGTCAGGAAGCCTCTGAACCTTGGCGTTGATGGCCGTAATTAGCGTGCACGGTACAACTAAAACATGAGCTGATGTACGGCACAGAAGAGTGGAGGCAACCTCATCAAAGCAAGTGGGGATTCACCCCAGATGCACATGGGCCAGGGACATGAAGAACCACCTGCTTTCCCAGTCATGCTATGCCTGGCGAGGTGGTGCTTACCTGTAAATGGAGGTGGTCAGAGACGTAACTGACTCCAATGCCAGGCTCCTCAGTACACCAGGGCAATCACCAATTTAAAATGATTACCATTAAAGAGCTTTTGCTAATGGATGCTTCTGCCAGCAGAAGATTTATTCAGAGCAAAAGGCCACAAGAAAGGGGGCTAGAGGAACTGGTCCTACCTTGCACGACCATTCATATCCCTCCCGTGTGACACTCTGCAGGGGAGGCTACATGTGCTCCCGGTGCCAGATCTTAGTCACTAGACACAAATGTGTCCTTGGCTCTTCCAAGCAACCTGGACAAGTGGAGGAGGGTTTGACAGAAGAGTGCTGAGGCAGAGTCAAGCGATCGTTTCCTCAGCCTGCTGCTAAGCCCATCAGGCACTTCACACCCCAAAACAACAGCTTTCAACAGACACCGCTCACAAGAACCAACCCCAGTTAAGTGAAGCACAGAGAATTTGTGGTTTGCATACTGTGCTCAGCTGGGCAGGACACAGCCCTCCCCCCTCCCTGCTCCACCAAACTCTCTCCATCAGTCTCACCACCCTATTTCATGGGAAGTCAGACACCAGCAACAGTGGGAACCGGAGCATGGGGCTGGGTTGACCCAAGAACACCTTCCATACCCTTGGCAAGCACATAACAAAGATCATCGAAGGCTGGGCGATGGTGGCGCACGCCTTTAATCCCAGCACTCGGGAGGCAGAGGCAGGCAGATCTCTGTGAGTTCGAGACCAGCCTGGTCTACAGAGCTAGTTCCAGGACAGGCTCCAAAGCCACAGAGAAACCCTGTCTCGAAAAACCAAAAAAAAAAAAAATATATATATATATATATATATATATATATATATATATATAAAACAAACAAACAAAGATCATCGAAATTTCTTCTGCCTTCACAGGACCCTGTTTTTGCCACTCTTAAATGAAATCCCAACTCTATTCTGATCAGGCCTCAGCAGCACATGGTTTCAAACACTTGAAGCCCTGTGCTAAGGACTCCAGGAAGGAAGACACACAAATGCTGTAGTGGATTACTAGTGACCAGTGTAGCCCAGGGGTACAGAGGGACACCCTCTCCCCACAGTCGAGCACTCCTAAGTGCTCACAATCCTCTGGACCAGCTGGAGTGGGCTTCCCAGGAGGAACCTGGCCTGGTCCTGGGCATGTCTGGAGTACTCTCCTTGGTGTCAGGTCCCTTTCTTCCCACTCCACTCCCCAGCATCTCCCATGCTGTCCCATAGCCACCAGCAGCTGTAGCCTTTGTTAGCCTGAGAACTGCTTCTGTGCACAGAGTGCTGTGAGCAGCCTACCCACGCTGACCGCGACCAGAATGCGGGATCTTCTGGCTTCAACCTGGGCGGTGGAAGTGGCTGAAGGCCAGTGAGGTGCAGCACCCACATACAGAGGCTATTTACACCCTCAGCACACACACAGAGGCTCTGAGAACTCTTCACTTGCTCCGTGCCTTCTGTAGTGATCAATAAAATCCAGGGTATTTACCGTTTTCTACAGAACATGACTGCTGTACTGCACAATTAACAAAATGAACTCGGCCCC